AAAAAAATCAAATCAAATAAAGTCTTACCATATATGGGCTAGTAAGGTAGAAGGTAAACCTGTTTTCAAGAAGATTTCACGGACCTCCAGTCCAGACACAAATCCGTCCATATCTTTATCAGTTTTCAGGAAGATTTCATCATATTTAGCTTTTTCTGCAGGGGATACAACCCACTACGGGGGGTGGGGGGGGGGAGAAAAACAGTATTTCTGCCAAAATGAAACAAACTTTGAAGTGTCACTCTTTCAATCCATTACAGTATCCATCACAAATTCTGAACAATTCTACCCTACTAACTCAGAGCAACAATGTATCACTTTCATATGACATCTCAATCAAAACCCTGTGGTGAAGACAAAATAACAGAAGAAAATACAGGCCAATTAGGACTTATCTATAGGTGCACATTTCCACTTTCTATTAAGAAATGAGTAAACTCAAACATAGTTAACTCTTGACTTATGCCCACATTAATATAGGTAACTCAAAGTCTGTATAAACAAAATACTCAGATAATTCTCAATCTTTATTTTTTACAGTTTGACCCAGCAGTGTTAACCACAGCCAAACTGGCTGATTTGCCTACCCTGTCATTAATCTTCCTTTACTCAATCTGACAAGAGGCAGGCTGAGGGCAGAAAAAAAAAGCCTTGGACAACCCAGAATTCGATAATTTGATCCCAAAGAATCAAGAGTTAACTGAGATCAAACAAAAATAAAAACAACTATTAATTATGCCAGGGCAAACATGCCATGTTAGCATGGAGCATCTTCCATCTCTAACTTTAATTCCAGGGAGATCAAGATAAAGCCAATAAAACATTCATATGACCCAAGGCCAAATGTAGAAAGAATATGTCTTCTCTGGAGTATCACATTATGTAGGTTCAACCAGATGGTGCTCTAAAATTTTTATCCCTTTAATTGCTCTATCTTTGTCAAGTAGTAAACTATTAAACGCCATGCACTTTGTTAAAAAAAAATCCTTTAACACTGATAAATCTATACCTGTCTTAATGGTGTTTTGGTAGGTAAAATGCCTACAGATGGTAAGGAGTGGTAAGATTCCTTGGTTGATGCTGAAGAGGGGATCAACCGCACAGAGCCTGATATACTGACCGTTTTTCTCTTAGATGGTGGCACCAAGGCTGGAGGCAAGGACATTGGCACAGGTTCTTTCTCCAGTGCACAGTATACCAAAAACATGGCCTTCAAAATAAATGAACCAGGGTCATATATATTAAAAGCACTTAATATTCACCCACTGAATTGATTATTGTTCAATGATAAATCATCTTTAGGCTCTCAAATCCTTTTTTAAGAAATTGGGCTGGGAGGGAAAGAAGAGAAAAATGAGGGAGGGACGAAAGAAAGGAGGGAGAAAAAGAAAAAAAATAAAAAGTAAGAAATATTTAGGAAGATATCCTTAGTAAAAATTTAGAGATGCACCCTTCAACTAAAGTTTTTGCAATGTCAAACAATAATTTGAGAAGACAACATCTGCAAAGAAAGAAGTACTCTCCCTAATATATAAAGAGCTCCTAAAAATTAACAGAAAAAAAAAAGTCCAACAGAAAAATGGAAAAAGAGTTTGAAGAGATATTTTACAGACAAGCAAATCCCTTAAATGGTCCATTCTTTAACATACAAAAATATGCCCAATCTCAGATGAAAACTGTAAGTTAAAACTATATTGAAATACCATTTTCCACCTAACTGGCAAAAACTCCAAGTTTCATAACATACTTTTTTAGTAGCTAAACTGTGGGGAAATTTTCTTACACTGCTGATGGGAGCTGAGGGGTAGCAGACTATGTTACCCCAAAACATTCCACTTTGGCATAAGGATTATTTTGAACTGAAAGCAACTGAGAAGTAGTAGTATCAAAAAAAAAAAAAAAGTTCTCTGCCCTCCCTCTCTATGCCTAAAAGCAGGATATAAATTTACAAAGGTGTCCCTCTTGCCCTCTCTACAAGGAAGGATAACAGTTCCTGCCCAAAATGACTTCAGACCCTTATCAGCCTAGAGGTGTCGCCAGAAGAATTATATAACAAACTTTACGCTGCTGGTGGGAATGTAAAGTAGTTCAGCCATTGTAGAAAACAGTGTGGCAATTTCTCAAAAAACTCAAGGCAGAATCACCAATGACTCAGCAATCCTATTATTGGGTATATACCGAAAGGAATATAAATTGTTTATCATAAAGCCATATGCACACATATGTTCATCACAGCACTATTCACAATAGCAAAGACATGGAGTCAACCTAAATGCCCATCAATGGTAGACTGGATTTAAAAAATGTGGTACATACACACCACGGAATACTACACAGCCATAAAAACAACAAGATCATGTCCTTTGTAGCAAAACAGACACAGCTGGAGGCCATTATCCTAAGCAAACTAACACAGGAACAGAAAAACAAATACATGTTCTTGCCTCTAAGTGGGAGCTAAACATGGAGTAAATGTAGTCACAAAGAAGGGAACGACAGACACTGGGGCCAATGTGAGGGTGGAGGGAGGAAGAGGTTCAAAAAACTACCTATCATTTATTAACTGAATGACAAAATAATCTATACACCAAACCCCTGTGACATGCAATTTACCTATATAACAAACCTGTACATGTACCCCTGAACCTAAGAGTTAAAAAAAATTCATTGTTCTTTGTTAAAGATGCTGTATTAGGCTAAGTTCTTTTCTTTTGCAGTAAAGAGTTTAATTGATGCAAAACTGGTCACAC